GGGACCCTTTCCAAAGATTGCGTGTAAATCATTGACCATAGAAAGTATGTGATCACCGGTACGCATGGCGGGCTTCTTTCGGTGATCTGCCTCGCCTTTGAAATGCTTGCCTTTCTTTTGACATTGATGGTTGGTCGGAAGAAATCGACGATGGCCTAGGTACACATTCTTCCTGCATTTGTCCAGGTATATACTTTCGGTGTCAGCTAAACAGTGCGTGCATGCGTGGTATCCCTTGTTCGTCTGTCCTGAAAGGTTACTGAGAGCGGGCCAATCGTTGATGGTTACAAACAGCAACGTGTGCAGGTTAAATTCCTGTTGTTTGTGCTCATCCCACACATGTACACCGTTTCCATTCCACAGTTGTAAAAGTTTTTCAACTAATGGCCTTAGGTACACATCAATGTCGTTGCCGGGTTGCTTAAGGCCTTGGATGAGAACTGGCATCATAATGAACTTTCGCTTCATGCACATCCAAGGAGGAAGGTTATACATACATAGAGTCACGGGCCAGGTGTTGTGATTGCTGCTCTGCTCCCCGAAAGGATTAATGCCATCCGCGCTTAAAGCAAACCATATGTTCCTTGGTTCACCTGCAAACTTAGCCCAGTACTTTCTCTCGATTTTTCTCCACTGCGACCCGTCAGCGGGTGCTCTCAACTTCCCGTCTTTCTTACGGTCCTCACTGTGCCATCGCATCAACTTGGCATGCTCTTTGTTTCTGAATAGTCGTTTCAACCGTGGTATTATAGGAGCATACCACATCACCCTCGCAGGAACCCTCTTCCTACGGGGCTCGCCGTCAACATAATCAGGGTCATCTCGTCTGATCTTATACCGCAATGCACCGCATACCGGGCATGCATTCAAATCCTTGTACGCACCGCGGTAGAGGATGCAGTCATTAGGGCATGCATGTATCTTTTGCACCTCCAATCCTAGAGGGCATACGACCTTCTTTGCTGCGTACGTACTGTCGGGCAATTCGTTATCCTTTGGAAGCTTCTTCTTCAATATTTTTAGTAGTTTCTCAAATCCTTTGTCAGGCACATCATTCTCTGCCTTCCACTGCAGCAATTCCAGTACGGTACCGAGATTTGTGTTGTCATCTTCGCAATTGGGGTACAACCCTTTTTTGTGATCCTCTAACATGCGATCGAACTTCAGCTTCTCCTTTTGACTTTCGCATTGCGTCCTTGCATCAACAATGACCCGACGGAGATCATCATCATCAGGCACATCGTCTGGTTCCTCTTGATCTTCAGCAGCTTCCCCGTTGCAGCATCATCGAGCACATTGTCTGGTTCATCTTGATCTTCAGCAGCTCCCCCCGTTGCAGCATCACCGTATTCAGGGGGCACATAGTTGTCACCGTCCTCTTCTTCTTCGCCGTCTTCCATCATAACCCCTATTTCTCCGTGCCTCGTCCAAACATTATAGTGTGGCATGAAACCCTTGTAAAGCAGGTGGGTGTGCAGGATTTTTCGGTTAGAGTAAGACATCGTATTCCCACATTTAGGGCATGGACAACACATAAAACCATTCTGCTTGTTTGCCTCGGCCACTTCGAGAAATTCATGCACACCCTTAATGTACTCAGAGGTGTGTCTGTCACCGTACATCTATTGCCGGTTCATCTGCGTGCATTATATATAATTATGTGTGTCAAAAGTAAGAAAATCAGACAAGTATCTATCTAAAGTAAGAATTTTTTTTTCTTTCAGAAAGAAGATAAGAACAAGAGGCTCAACATGGTGGTGTCGGCGACAAGATCGGCGGGGCGATTGACGGCGGTGAGGATGGGGACGGGGCGTGAAGGACCGCTAAACCTAGACAAATCTCGGGAAAAATGGAGCTCGGAGGTCGAGCTTCGAAAGGAAAAAACTTAACTAGCGTGGCTCGGGCATTTCATCGAACACCTCATGTGCATATGAGGTGAGCTAGAGCACGCAAATGCCCTCCCCTCGCCGGCCAAAAAAACAGAGCAGTGTGGACTGCTCTGCTCGCCGGCGAGGGGGTATATATAGGCAACTCATTTGTCCCAGTTTGCGGCAGGAACCGGGACTAAAGGCCCCCCTTTTGTCCCAGTTCTAGGCACGAACTGGGACCAATGGCTGTGGGCCAGGAGCGAGGCTCATTGGTCCCGGTTCGTGCCTAGAACCGGGATAAATGGGTCCACATAAACCGGGACAAATGCCTCCCGAGGCCCGGCCGGGCCCCTGGGCGCACGAACCGGAACGCATGCCCCCCATGGGTCCCGGTTCGTGACTGAACCGGGACTAATGGGCTTGGCAGGCTCAAACCAAAGCCATGTTTTCGACTAGTGTGTAGAGGGCCGCTAGAAGCGCGGGGTCCCAAGGCGCCGACGGCTGCGGCTGTGGAGGCGGCGCCGCGAGGAGCGGTGGGTACCCACCGGCCGAAGGCACCCCATAGGCCGCGGAGGGGCCGTAGGGCAGCGTGGGCGCGTACGACTGAGGAGCCGCGTGGAGCGCCTGATGAGAGGTCGGGCGTGCGCAGAAGAAGCCGGGGACGGGGGCGCGCGGTACGGGCATGGAGTACGCATAAACGACCCCTGTCCAGGGGTTCTGGCCGGCCTGCCAGGGCACCGGCGGGAGCTGCTGCTGCGGGTGGCGCGGCGCACCGCCTTGGGCGGCCGGCTACTGCTACTGTTGCTTGTGGCTGTCGCGGCCACAACGGCCACTGCAACCCTCGGCGGGGGCGGTGGCGGAGCCTACTGCTACTGCGGGTAGGGGAACCAGCGCGGCGGTGGCGCATGGAAGGGGCCGGTCCAGGCCGCGGCTGAGGGGCCGGGGCGGTGGGCGGCGTGCCGCCACGGGTACCGTTGGTGAGGGCCGTGTGAGTGGCCCGTGTACGCGACATCCGCATCCTCCTCTCCTCCAGCTTCAGGTACGCCACGATCTTGGGAAAGTCGGGTTGGTGATGAGGGGGATGCTGGAGGTGGCGTTCCCGAAATCGTCGTTCGGGCCGGCGATGAGTGTGTTGAGAAGGAGCTCGTCGGAGACCTTCTCACCGAGGTCACGGAGCTCGTCAACAAGCTTTTTGAGGCACATGCAATAATCGTCAACGGGCGAGTCGTGCTGCTGGCACCCAAAAAACTCGCAGTGCAAGAAAACCTTTCGCTGGAGCGTGTTGTCGGTGAAGAGGCCGTTGAGCTTGGTCCATACGACGTGAGCATCATCCTCGGCAGAGACCACCGTGTGGAAGAGGTCCTTCGAGATGGTGGTGTAGAACCAACAGGTGAGAGTGGTGTCGATGGCCATCCACTCCTCATCGTCCTCCATGAACCGGGAATCCATGGAGCCATCAATGTGATCCCGGAGATTGTACTCACGAAACACAAGGGACAAGTACGTCTTCCAGGCATAGTAGGTGGATGTGAGATGATCGAGGACAACGGGAACCCGCCCGAGGATGTTGAGATCGCGGATGATGACGGGGTCGGGGCCAGTG